ACTTGTAGCCCCCACAGGACCTCTGTTAGGATCAGGGAAAGGTATCCCTTCCTGAGCCGGCTGGTTCTGCCTTTGCTCTGCACACAGCATACAATGCAGCTTGGACCATGATTCCCATGTAGCTCTGCTCAAACACCCCTGAGCCCTTCCTGCCTCCCTACAAGGGCCTTTGGGAGGAGAGAGAGTGGAGAGCAAGCCTCTTTTCATCACTTCATTGTGCATTGTCACAAAATAGCAGTGGAAAGTGAAGGAAATACAAGTTGGTGGAAATTACATATTTTTAGTATTTCTAGAAAGTGCAAGTTTACACTTATACTTTGGGATGCATACTACTTAATTCCAGTCTGAGACTATCATTAGAAATTTCTTTATACAGTCAGCCAAGTAATGGTGACATAACACATCATGGAAAAATTCCCATTATTCTTGCTGCTTTAGTCATTGTACTTCTTATCATATCTTCTTGGTGCTGGCTTAGTACATAAATTAAATGAAATTTAAGAAGATGTAGGCAGTGGAAGTAGACTGAGGATATTAATGCAGCAATCACACCAAAAAATAGTTAACGTTAATTTGAAATGTTTTTGTAGCTCTACAGCCAGATTATGTTAACTTTAATAAGGATTTTAAAGTTGTAATTGGGGCCAAAAAGATGAACGTCTTGGTTTTGTTCTCCTTCATGGCTAATTGTAGAACCTGGTCAAGGGAAATGTCTCACTGGTTACATAGAATGCCAGGAAAAGAAATTCAATCGAAAAGTCATGTCTAACCACTGAAAAACTACTTTGAACCAAATAGGGCCAGATTTTTTTTTTTTTTTTTTTTTAAGAATTACATGAGAGGAAAGAAAGAGCAGTCATTCTCTTGGAGAATTAAATATAGTCATGAATGTATCAGTTTTCTTTCTTGGTGCGATATACACATCAGTATCTCAGAGGATTGAGTCAATTTAAGATAAAAGCTGCCACTTTTTTCTTTTTGTATTTAACTTGTGATCGCCATTATCTATTGCAATGAGCATGCTATATGCTAGGCCACTGCTAGGAGCACCTGGAGCACAGTCACATCGACTCTCGCCTGCAGCCCTTTGAAGAGGCATTGCTTTTTGAGTGAGGGATCTGAGGCTTCGAAGCACTGGGGCAGTTTTTCAGAAATGCACTAGGAAGTAAGTTGGAGAGCCGCAGCCCCTCACATTCTGTGCAGTACAGCACTGGCATCTCCTGGGAGCTTATTAGAGACCAAACCTCAGCTCCGTTCACACTTAAACATCAGTATCTGTGTTTTTAAAAGATCCCTGGCCAGTGAGGTAGAACTACAGTTTGAGAAATGTTGCTTTATTTTACAGAGTCCATGCTCATAATCCCTGCTCATTCTTGCCTCCCAAGGAAGTCAAAGATAACCTTAAGAGAATTCCCTGAATCTGATGTGACTTTAGGAAGATTCAAGATCATCTCTCTTTTTCTGAGTATAGTCTAGTTCTGTAGATATCGAATTTGTTGAATGTTTTCTACTTTTTGGCTAAGTAATCTGGGATCTAATCTTAGAAGAGTCTATTCCTTCTTCTCCGTCATATCTGTGCTCAGTGAATTTTAAAAATGTTCTAGTGTGACAGCTTCCAGTTGTTATCAGGACATTGGAAAAAAAGGACACACAGCAGTGGCTCATCGTACAAAGGCTGAGTTGCCTGGGGAATTGTGGCATACATCTCTTTACTAGGCCTCTGCCCTGTCCTGCGTATAGGACCTCTGTTAGGTGATGGATAATTTTCACTCTGTCTCCTGTTATCCTAGGTATTGAAATATTAAACATGCCTTGTAATTGAGTGCACGCAAGTCTAAGAGAAAAAGCAGCTTTCTTCTATGAGGTGTGAAGCATTTTACACGATCATTTTAAGACTTATATGTAAGCCACTCATATTTAAAAGATAAAAGTTAAACATCAAGAAACTGCGTGAAATATCAGCAGTTTTAGAGACAGAAGTTTTGGGGCATAAGTTTGGAGAATGGATGAGAAATGATAAGACTGGATCAGAGGTTCTAGAATCACTGGGGTGGCTTTTAAATGCAAACTAAAGCTTGCTACTTGTGTGTGCTGTTGAGCAGGGTTGTGATACAGTGAACTTGGATCTTTAATAATTTTCTGTATGGTGATATCCTCTGAACTAAGGGACACAGTTTAAGAAACACCAGGCTAGATTTTTAGGAGACAAATTAGAAATATTTTTGCATTTATTTATGCAGTATATAATATAAAACTGTACACTGATGAGAGAGGAGGAGAGATGGCTTTTAAAGGTACATAGCTGCTGTCAAGAAATCAACCAACAACAAATGTTGGCAGGGCTGTGGATGGAAGGGAACCTTGCTCCACTGTTGGTGGGAGTGCAAACTGGTGCAACCACTCTGGAGATCAGTGTGGAGGTACCTCAAAAAACTAGGATTGGAGGTTCCATTTGATCCAGCTTTTCCTCTGCTGGGTATCTTTCCAAAAGAATTCAAAGAATCATACCACAGTGATATATTCACATCCATGTTTATAGGGGCACAGTTTGTAATAGCTAAAACTTGGAAACAGCCCAACTGCCCATCAGTTGGAGACTGGATAAAGAAGATGTGATTTTTTAATAAAATGGAGTACTGCTCAGACATAAGGAATGAGAAACTAGAGTCATTATTGGGGCCGTACTCTTAAGTGAAATAAATAAGACACACATGAGTAAATACCAAATGGTTTCTCTGGTGTGAAAAACTAAAAGTGTAAATAAGATCCAAAATTGTGCAACTGATAATGTGAAATAGGAAGAAAAGGGCTAAAGGTGTAGGGGAAGTGGGAAGGGTAGGGGAAAAGAAAGAAGGGGAAAGAAAAAATATGAGAAAAGGAAAAAATGGAAGCAAAGTCTTTGTAAATAGGGGAGGGTGGAGAGGGTGAAGGGAGGGCAGGGGTATGGGGAACAAATGAGAACCAAGATCTGTCGTGTAAAGGTACAAGATCCTAATGATGAACGTAACTGTACTGCATGCCTAAAAAGTACCGATAAAGTCAAAAGAAATAAAGATACAGAGGAGTTCTCATCGACTGGACTGGAGAGCAGAGCAGAATATGTAGGTGAAGAGGAGGCAAGAGTCTAGATTGATTTCTAGGTTTCTGGCCTCACTGTGTGGATGGAGAATGGTTGTATGATTTCCTTGACATATGGAGTAAAAGGAGAAGCCAGCTGGAGGTTTTCAGGCGGGACTGATAAGAGTTTAGTCTTAGACACATAACATGGAGATTGATGTGGCTAATTTAAGTGGAGATATCATTTAGGAAAGTAGGAGACTGCTGAGTTGAAGGTGCAGGCGTGTATATCCATACGGGAGAAATTACAAATCATAACGAGAATAAGGTGCAGAAAGTCAGACTGGGACATGCCAGTGTAAGGCGAACCTAGAATAATTCATTTTCCCAAGGACTGAAAGGAACTAGCAGTGGCTCTGGAGTGAGAGTTTCTATGAGGGTGCAACCAACATGTCCATACTCCAGGAAGTTGAATTGATGTATGGACTCCATTGTAATTTGGACCAAAAGATGATAGAAAACATAGTAAAAGCAATTTTGTCAAACAGCATAGATGGGACCCAGATTGCATTTATCTGAAGTTAGAAACCATCCTTCTGGACAGAATAAATATGCCTTGTGAGTTCTTGATTTTAGATTTCTATTTCTTTAGCTCTCAAGAAAACAGTGCTAGTGTTAGAAATGCTTTGCTAAACTAATTGGTGCATAGTCAAATTGTTAAGCTTAATTTTCTAGGTGAAATTGAATAAAATGTTTAAAGAGAAAATTTAGAATCAAATGTAGTATATAATTCTTCACCTTGACACAGCAGCACCTCTTGTGAGGTGTTGATTGTCCCTTACCCTGGGAAACTTTCAGAGGTAGCTGGGGAGGTTTTATGGTTTCTCTCTCTAAAAGTGTTTTGTTCCCTATCCCCATACCTGCTGGGGGACTCAGAGTGCTATTATTGCTATTAAGAATATTATTTTACTCTGTGACTTTGTGTGACAGCTGGGTATGATTATTTTATTAGTTTCCTGGTTGACCTGGGAAGGTCAACAAAGGTGATAGTTGTTATGGCAGCTGTCACTTCGGGTAATTTGACCATAACCACTTTTCTTTCCTTTTCCTCCAGTGTTTTTCTAAATAAATTTAAAAGAAAACAGAGAGTAAATAGAAATCACTGTCCTTCAAGGATCAGGACCTGGGATAAGAGTTTCATAAGCAAGATTTATTGGTGGTGTGTTAGTGTCTAGAGAACATGGCTGTACCATAGCAGGGCACCCACCTCTGTCTCCAGACCTTTTCGGTGGGTGTGCGCTGATGGTTCTGGTTTCTGGACAGCCAGACCTGAGACTGAGCTGATGCAGCTCTTTCAAGTTGATGCTTGTACTCCCTAATCAATTAGTTGAAAAGTTCTCTGCAAAATGTGGGTCAAATGCAGAACAAGAGGAACTGCCAGTAAAATAGCCTTCTAAATGACCCAAATAAAAACACATTTTCTGTCTTATGGGACAACTGATCTGACCTAACAGATACTCTGAGTGCATACTTTTATGTTTCCCTTCACTTATTGACCACGTTTTCAAAGGTCTGCGTTAAAAATGGAACACTTTTTAAATCATGGGTTGCGAGTGATCAACTGTGTAATTGTTATTTCACAGAGACCAGACTCGCTTCCTAGACTATTAGAAATTTTACTTGTTGACAGATCAGACTCTTACAAGACTGATAAAGCGCATGACTTTGAGGTGGATGGTGAATACTGGGAGAAAGATGGTAGATTTTTAAGATTTATTATAGAGAGCCCAAAGTTCTTTCGAAACATTAAAAAAGTGTTTTGAATACTTCAGTAATGACATAGGCATTTTCTCTTTTATGTTTTTCATTTAGAATTAAATGCCTTCTTATGCATATTGGAGTTAAAATTAACATTTTCCCCTTTTTCTTTCTTTCTGGAACAGGTTGTCAAGTTATTAAGCAACAAAAGATCCCAAGCAGTTGGAATACTAATGTCTAGTCTTCATTTAGATATGAAAGACATACAGCATGGTAAGTGGAAAAATAAAAGTGCAGCTTTTGAATGCTGAAATTTGGGCAGGAGGATATTATGTTTGGTGGTAAAAGTATTTCAAACTTATCTGTGTATTCTGAGGTTAGTGCATTTCCCATAAGTGCTACCAAACTTTCTCCTGCAGTTGTTTCTGGAAAGGTTTCCATTAATGGTGCTAGCATGGATGGGACCGGGTGAGGACCCTCTTTTCAGCTACATACTACCACTTTCTCTTTGTATACTCACATGGCAGAAAAAGGGCAAGAGAGCTTGCATGGGTCTCCATAAAAGCACTGATCCTATTCATGAGGGCTTCCCTCTCAAGATCTACTCACCTTCCAAAGACCCAGCTCCTACAAATATCATGGTGAGAGTCAGGATTGCAGCATATACACTACAAGGGAAACACAGATGTTGAGTCCATTGAAGATGCATTTAATCTGTTATGAATAAATGTTTAATTTTTATATCATAAGATATAGTAGTCTACTATGCCCTGTAACTTTCTTAGACTGTATCCAGGGCATTTACTTGTGCACATTACACACGAAAAGTTATTGGTGAATACTAGCATGAGCCAGACATTGGGGGGTCTCAGCCCCTGAAAATAGTGCAGGAGATTCTCTGTGAGAGAGAAAAGTTGGTTGAGCCTTGACTCTCGAGTTTGATGAACTAATTTGGAGATAGTGACTTAAAATGGTCAGTTCCATCCAGTGTGAGAGTTACAAGGAAGCCTGTTTCAATTGTCGGTTTAAGGATATTCTTGTGATTAGAGATTTCAAGCAGTAGTAAACTAGATTGCCGTATTTAATGATTAGCTGAAAACAAGTTTTCAAGAGGCCAAATGACCATTTGTCTCAGATGTCTTTAAGGCATTTTTTAGTCATCCTGTTCCAAGGTACTGAAAAGCTAAAGCAAATTTATTATATTTAACTCTTTAGGGTGGAAAACTGGTCCCTCTTCTTCCAACTTAACATGGGACAACTACACAATGCAAACATCTGAGCTTTTCTACTATAGAAGGACTGAAATGTCTTTTTTCTAATGACCACCAAAGATGATTTCACATTATCTTTTGCCCATTTTTATTATTAATGGTGTCCAGATGCATGGAAGCACTAACATCATGATCTTTCATGATTTCTATTACGTTATTGTTTTAAGTTATATTTTTAAATAGGCTTATGACATATTTTCTGTGCTTGGAATTAGGGTGGTTTCTAACATTTTCTAAATGGATTTAGTGTCAGTATTTTAATAGTTGAATTCTACTCTACAATTGACAGGAATTCCGGTGCCATTTCCCCTCATCACATCTACGCTGAGAAATATTGCTCAAGGGTCCATAGTGGAATTAAATTTATATTCTGAGTGTCCCTTAAGATGCCTTGGGCCTTAGAATAGATTTAAAGCAGATTAAATTATCCAGTGGAATGCCAGCCTACCTATTAAAGAAATATGGTTTCAAGTATAATACAGACCTTATAAATCATGAAAACATTTAACTGGCTTTCTAGCTTCCCCCTTTATGAATGTGGATTCTATTTGTTAGGCCAAAAATATAGTGTGGAATAATTCATAAATAGCGCAAGAGTGGTGTGTGCCCTGTCAATTGATGAGTAACTCTTAATCACAATATAAGTTTTTATTAAATTGTTTTGATGGTGAGGAGACTTCCTCAAGCTGAAACATTTCGGGTAATACTCATAGAAGAGAACGCCAAGACTGGCGCCAAGAATTACTTGGTGTTTCTAACACTGGCAGATGTAGCCCAGTTAAGTCATAGAATGAAATCTGAAAATAATGATATGGTCCTTTCCTTCAGTCAAATATTCAGCTCGGGTTGAGCTAATAATGAGAACCTTATGAACAAAGGAGTCCGCCTGACAGCTGAGTCTGTGGTACCCAGCCAGCGAGAGTTCATTGAAAATTTGCTTGCTTAACATGCAACACGAACATGGCATGAACGGCACTCGTTAGAGGGTCACACAGAATTATGCATAAACTTTATCCTGTTAAGATGTGAAATGATTGCCTGAGTCCCTTTGAAACTCGGCGCACCATTTTCTACAAAGCAGCCACCTTCAAAGTCTGAAGAAGGAAGCAGTTGTGATTTCTGTGGACAAAGTCCTGTTCCGCCTCAGTGTGTTGTCTGGAGCCATGGTTTCCATGTGGGAATCACTTGTGGCCTCTAGAGTAAACTCTGCTTCTCTCAGGATATGCCTCCACGGAGAAACCCACAGAAGCATAAACACCATTGATTTGGGATGTAGGAGCAGCCACAGAATTCACCCAGACCTCCAGTCTCATTTTATAGAAGAGCAAACTAAGAACCGTTAGTGGGCCAGTGTCTTTCTCAATATTGTGCGTCTCCTTAATAGAGCAGGCTGAACTTGTGCTTGGGCCTTTGTTAAGTGGCTCTATTCTGTGCCACTTCCCCCAAGGTCCTGTTTTTGCTGTGACCACCACTGACAGCTCTAAAACCAAGTACGTGCCTGTAATGTTGTTCTACTGAGTAATTCCAAACCTCCTGAAATGGAATGCCACAACTTCACCCGCTCGCCTGGATCATTGTTAGGTCCTGCACGGGTCAGTTCAGGTAGATTCACCGTTGCATCCCCCAGTTCTCGCCCTCACTGTAACTTTTACACACACAAAATTAATTGTCTGGGGACTGCCTCACTTATATTTGCTGTATCTATTATTTTCTTCTTCCTTGCAAACCTCCAGAAAAGCCTATAGCTGAATTTAAAATACCTTTTAGAGTGATGAGTATGTAAGGCTTGGGTTGTAGGTGTCAAAGGTTCAAATCATCTGCACCTCTCAAGTGAAGGATCTGACTTAAAGTGACTGTCAGAAGGAATTTGCCTTTTTGGTGCCGGGACCTGGGGGCACTGTAGGTTGAAGATGAACTTGAGTCGAGCTCGGAGGACACTTCAGGAGGTACGAGCTGCTCTTTGGCTTCATGCATTAATTTCCATCAGTCTGGACTCTGTAGCCCTTTGAGCATCAGTTTATCGTGAGGAGCATCTAAAACTCTACTTTTGATGAGCTCTGGCCCCATAACACTGTCGACAGAAAGCTCTGATTTGTGGGGACAGGCAGAAGGTCTGAGGACAAAAGCATTCCTGAGCTAGATCGCTTCTCCCAGTTCTTTTCTTCCCCTTTATGGGGCATGATAATTCCTTACTGTTTTGACACCTTCTTGGTATCTTCATGATAATTAACAAATATATCTCACCTTGCACTTTTAGTTGTTATTTGCGGAAGAATTGATTCAGTGATGTAGCTTGTTACTTGCAGAAATTGATTATATGTGTCTATAGCTTTGTAATGGTAGTTTAATTTTGGGAAATTGATATTTTGCATATAGAACTCAGGCACATTTCAGGGATCATTGTGGTCGTCACAACCATTAGGTCTATCTTTTTATTTTTAATTTTTATTTATTTATTTGGTTCTGGGGATTGAACTCAGGTCCTTGGGCTTGCGAACCATTTGGCAGAATCACTGAGCTAAATCCTGGCCCAGGCCCATCTTTTGAAATGATAGGAGCTGCATAGAATTTCAAATTCTGTAAGGCTCAGCTTTATACCCTCTCTCGAGTATGCATATAATTTATCATGCCAGATGGGATTGTTTTTTGTTTGTTTGTTTGCTTTCGGTTTTTTGAGACAGGGTCTCACTCTGTAGTTGAGACTGACCTGGAACTCACTATGTAGCCCAAGCTGGTCTCTAACTCACAGCGATCCTCCTGCCTCAGCCTCCTGAGTGCTGGGATTACAGGCTTGCGCCATCACGCCTGGCGTAGATGGCATACTTTTAAAAGACTGAACAGATGCTACTAACAATATCACCTGGATACCAAATGTAAAATGGAAATTTTGCAGGTGCATCAGTATTATGGTCACTGTACTACCAGATCAAACTGAAGTAAGTTTCAGATCTAATCCTCCCCCATAACATCAGTAGTTATGAAGCAGGTATTTATTGATCATGAAGAAGGAAACTGTTTGAAAAACCTGCTGTGTAAAGTTGAGGTTCTTGGCCCTCTGTCGTTATGGGAAAGGTTACTCCACAAGCGTGCACACACATCGCAGAGGTTGGAATCTTTTTTCTTATAGCTTGGACAAGATGTGTAGAAATCCAACTCAACTCATATGTGGATCTAGTACTGTATGGGTCCTAAGCCTCAGGCAGCTTCCCAAAGCTCCAGGCTGTAACCTTTCCTGGATTCTCGTATTCTTATCTATCTGTCCATTCTCACGACTATCTATGCAAACAGGATGTGGTTGAAATATCTCTAAGAAATCTGAATTAACCCACAGACTTTGAATTACTAGTTTCACCAAAGACAGCTGATTTTATCCATTAGTATGCTAGTCAAAAGACCCCAGTTGTTGATTTAGATAGGAAAAGCTGAGCCTTACCTACCCCTGCTGTATGGTCTTCCAGACACAGGGCTGAGCAGCCGGTGCTGGCTGTGGACCTTATTAGTAGGACAGCGGGCTACCCTTCAGCTGAAGGTTTAACAGGTTTATACATACTATTACATTCCCTCTGCAAACATGTTTCAGAGTAGGCTGTGGATATTGTAACAAGGGGCACCTGCTATGTATTTTATGACCCACCCATAGAAATAAGCTTCTGTATCCTGAAGGGGTGGCCCTGATTCTTTTCTATATTTTGTAGAAATATAAAATGCCCTGCCCTGTCTGTAGTGGACTGAATTGCATGAGGTCAGTGCATGCTACAGTGTGTCCTAATTGAAATTTCTGCCCTGTTAAAGCATGATTTACCAAAATCATGTTTCTTCAAGTTAATTGGATATAAACTAACATGCATTTCATCAAAATATAATTTATATAGTCAATAAAATTATAGTCTTTGAATTTTTTGTTCTCTAATCATAATGACTGCTTTTTCAAACACATTTTTCCAACAAGGAATGTAAACATACACTACGAGCCTATACTAATGCAAAACATTAAAAATATAT